AGCTCGGCCTGCATCTGCTTCATACGCTCTGTCCTGGCCTGGCTTTCCGCTCCTGATGTCTGACTGATGCTACAGCAAAAATGGGAAGGAAGACAAAAAGCACACGGGAGTCAACAACAAAGTAAATACATGTATGAACACGGAGTACATGAAAACAAAACGAGGTCGTACCTCAGCTTGAGATCATTTATCCTCGAGGACAGCTGAACCTTGTCCTTTTCCAGGTCTCTCAGGTTGGCTTTGAATCTGTGCACAGTGACCTAGCTCAAACATATAATTGGATATTAGAAACACTGGTCAGTTACACAACAAGCATCACTAGAATAACCTTAATTGTATCTGACGAGATGAGCAGAAAGGAAGAACCAATACACTGCTTTATATTGTGGAAGACGTATTCAATTCACTTGCAGTACTCGTAATGTAAGTGACTGAACCAGTTGACGGTATTGTCTGGACTAACGCATCATCTGAACTCTGACCTCGCTAGACTTGAGAAGGGTATTTCGTCTCTGGGCCTCGGCCTTGAGCTCGGCACATTTGGGCTGTAGCTCCTGGACTTGCTGTGTGATCTCCTCCAAGTGTTCCTGGATCTGCCTGGATTTGCTCTCAGCCTCCTCGACCTTATTCTGTATTATTACATAAACACAGATCAAAGAAGCAAGGGGGGGTTAAAGGTTAGAGCATAGAAGAGGGCTATGCACAGAAAAGTGCAAAGTCGTGGTGTAAGTTATCAAACAGAAGCAGTTAATAAATTACTGGTGATTCTAAAAACACACTAAATACATAGATTTTATGAAGAATACTAAAAAAAGTTGCATACCTTCCATTCATCCACCTTCTCGTCATATTTCTCTGTCGAATGTCTGTCTGACTGCAGCTTCTCTTTCATTGGCTCTAACTCCTTCTCCATCTCAATCACCTGCAACAGCCTCAGTCATTAATATTTAGACAAATGATCTTAAAGCAGTTACTGCACTAACCCGTTTTCATAGGAACACGGGGGATTGGATGAAGGAGGATGGAATTCAAAATTGGGAGAAGAAATCGGAGAAAGTGATCTCACCAAAGCCCAAGCCATTTGCTTCTGCAAGTCCTCCAGTTTGGTGTGCATTTCATCCAAAGATGCCATGTTCTTGTAGCGGTCCTCTTTCTCCACGAATTTCCGCTTCAAGTCTTTCAAGCACTGAAACAGTAAAGTAATGATTGTGTATGGTCGTATAAAACATGGTTAAAAAAGAGGAATAGCTATGCTATCAAAGGATTAAACATTGGACCTATTTGAAGCCTTTAAATTGATTAACAGTATAGTTCTGCATCAATATAATTAATCCTGCAAGAACGTGATATGTTTTGGCCACAAGGGGGCAGTAGAAACTGCAATATCATCGCCTTTAAGCAGACAGTTGCTTATTACCGAGCAACATCATCATTCATTTAGAGTCGTCCTTGAATCCACACGGTGAACATCCAGGTCCAATATTGACTCTCGCAGAGCTCGTTTTTTTTGTCAAATATTGGTTTATAGCTGCTTACAATATGAATATGTCAGCCAAACAGATTCTTACTTCACTGTGTTGCTGAACTTTATCCTCTGTGACGTGTTTGGTGGTTTTGATGTAAACAAAGTCCTCTCTCATCTGCTCCAGCTGGGTAGCTTTCATAAAAAACTGTCAGAGGAATAAAATTATAAATCACAAAAACAAAAGAGAAAACATTCTTCCTTAAATGTGTTTGAATATAATCACCTTATATTTGTCCCCCTCTCCTTTAGAGTGGAGGAAGTATTTGCTCATCTCTTGAGTGAGGACTGACACGGGATTGTTTACCTTTGGAGGAAAGGTGATAATGAGTTCCTCTGACCAATACAACAGGTTTATATCACAGGATTACATTTAGTCGTGATGGAGATTAAACATCATTGTAATGTATGTGATATGCATAGCTCATACCTGTATGTTAAAATTGTCCAGGATAGACAACAGCTCTTCCTTTTTGGTTGAGACAAGTTGACCTATAAGAGGAAAAGAATATATACTTTTATTAATTGCTAATAACATAGATTCACGCAGCTATCAGAAGTAGTAATTTGCATAAATATTGTTAAACTTTCCTTTCTTTTTCCCTCTTGCTTTATGCTGCTTTTTGTCGTCATTGTGAACAGGAATACATTCATCATTGTTTAATCATTATAATAATTAAATTCCCTGAGCCCAACGTGACAAGAACAAATCGCTATATTTTACTATAATGTCCAGACATGGAAAAGCAGCAGATTTCCACATGTAAAAGACAGGAGCCACCAGTTGTTTACTTAAATGATGAATGCATTAACGAAATAGCTGCCAAAAATGTTCTGGCAGTTTAAAGTGTTTAACTTTTAAAATTACTACTTACATGTTATATATTGTTGTGGAAGCACAGTGTAGTAGTACTTTTACCAAAATACTTGGGGGGAGAAATGTATAGCTCTTCAGTCTTTACCTGATTTGCTCCTCAGCTTATAGGTTCTCAACCCCTCACGTGTGATTCTCAGGTCTACAATGATGGCTAGACCATACACCTCCGGTTTGTAAGCATCCCTTCCTTTGTTACGCAGCGTGATCGATACATCAGCAGAGCTGAGGAAAGAGTAACACGCATTAAATCTATAGCGATTACAAAAATGCAACTTTTAACACAAAAAATATTTGAGAATCCCACTCTCTCATAGTGAAAAGACAATAGATACTTGACACCTTGTTAAATTTGTAGCTCTAGCAAGCAAAGAAGCCTTCATGGAAGATACTTTTACACCAGAATTTCTTTAAGGTGAAGAGTGAGAAGAACTTGAAGGACAACATTCATGGAATGTGTGCCTGAACGGACAGAAACTTGAAGGCAACAACAACCTGCATGTCAAAAAGGATGTACATTACATGATGAGGTGCAAGGTCTAACCTTTCTCCTTCCTTCACAAAACCCTTGAGGGATAATCCTCTGTTTGTGGCATGTGCGTTCCCACCTAAGGCCACTATGAGAGCCGTCAGAACGGCACTCTTTCCACCTGTAAAACAAGCAGTTAGTGCACAGAAAACACTGAAATAACCAAAAGAACTAAATGAAAGAGAAGGAGGCTGCACTCACTTCCATTGTTGCCGACCACAAAGTTGACATTGGAACCAAAAGTGAAGGGGCCAAGGAGAGAGTGACACATGAAGTTCTTCAGTGTGATGGACTCCACGATCCCTGCATCGCTCACCACCTCACCGGCACACTGCACATAAACGCAGGTGAACCGTGCATGTCATTTAACGGTTACTTTACAATAATAATATATAGAAACGCTACTCGATAGTTCTCAGACTATCGAGTAGACTATTCTATTCTCAGAGAATCTGTTAAGACAAGACAGAGTAAAAGGGGAAATAGATGAGAATGTCCTTGCAGCAACAGGATGTTTCAGATACATTTGACAGCACATACCTGTCCATTCTGTAGAGGGTCTTCCTGGTCAACATCTTCATCTTCCACGTCCTCCTCCTCCTCCGCAGCAGCAGGTCTGACCCGTTTTTTGGGGTTGTCACTGACAGAGCTGCTTTTTCTCTTCGACATCTTGGTCACCTATCTTTACCTTATGGGTAGAAACGAAACTGAAAGCTCATAGTCTAAACCGCAGCTATTGTTCTCCAGCTTAATTGCTAGTTGTTGGTGTTTGTAATGTCTTTCGCAAACCGACAGTTGGAACAGTGGCCGCAGGCTATCGTTAAACGAAAACGAAAGTAACGTTAACGTTACATCAGGTTGGCCGTTACAAACTAACGTTAGCTTAGCTGGCTAACTGACGCTACATGCTAAACAGTTAGCAACTATTCAGCCAGCGAGCAGCGGAGTGTGTTGTGGTGTAGTTTGCGTCGTTGTAAGAATTAGCAAAGGACTGGCATGCTAGTTTATGGAGTGACTGCTTACCTACCGTAGTGAGAGGCAGCCGTAGACAACAACAGAGGCTTGGTGGGAGGAGGGCGGTCCATGGGACGACTGATCAAATTCGCGCCCAGTATTTCCCGGATAATCTCGCGTGGTTACACGAGTTCACGAGAACACAAATACTTTTGCGTCATACACATCAGACACCTATGATCATCGTACACGGTGCTTTAACTATGCTTAACAGTCGTACGTCACTGAAACTTGAGAAAGACAAGAACGCTCTAAATGTTTTTTATTTACTTGATAGCTTTAAGTTAATTTGAGATAGTCCTGCTGTTGTGATTGTTTTGGATTTATTTTTATCCACTTTGTGTTTGATTTGATTTTGATCTTGGCAGAAGTATTTTTTTTTTTTGATAGAGTCCATGTAAAGAGGCCTTTGTTATTTTCTCCCAAAAAAATCCTAACTCAGAATCAGCTTTATTGGCCATGTATGCATACTCCGGTTTTCACATTGCTCTCAACGTACATACATAGAATATACAAATAAACAAGAAAAATATTTTAAAAAACAAGGACAATAAAGACATCAAACAGAGAAACTAAGCACTAACATTTAACTACTATGTACAATATAAATTAGAAATAATAAAGTGGCAAAAGAGTGAAAACAATTGAATTGTGCTTAGAGCGCAGTCTTTTTGGTAAAACATAAGCAAGATACAAGTGTGTACTGTGGGAAAAAAACGTTAATACAGCATCTCTTCCTTAAATGCCACAGACACCAAGTTTGTAATATATATATATATATATATATATATATATATATATATATATATATAGAGAGAGAGAGAGAGAGAGAGAGAGAGAGAGAGAGAGAGAGAGAGAGAGATATATATACTTTATTCATCCTGCAAGGGGAAATTTGTTCGCTACAGCAGCAAAAAAATATATAATACTACAAATAGCTAAATACTGCAGTATTTTCAGGAGTGGGCTACTGAGCACATTCACTAAGGATTGATTTTTAAGGACGGCTCGACTATAAAAACGGCTTAAAAGATTATGAATACTGAGCATAGACTGTATATAAGAAGTGAGAATAAGCCCGAGGGTGGCTGTAATGTAACGTGGATTAGACTGCTGTAAAACCTCAACGAAGAAGAAGTCGCCTCTATGACGTCATTTTACTGCGACAAACCGCCTGGACTTTTTTTTACAGAACAAGCTTTAGGCTGAGCAGGATTTTTGTGAAAATGACGGACCAAAAAGCAGAGAATATTAGCTCTATCCCCATCGATGAGTTCAGCAATTTAAGAATCACATCCATATGGACGTTTCTCATGTCTGTAAGTTACATTTTATTATTTCTTATGTGTAAACGTTATGGTCATAGCTATCCCTGCTAATAGGCAGGTTACCTTTAAACCATCCACTTGGAGCAGTTATATGTCGATGACCGCTGCCCAATGTGTGCTTTTATTTACTGTTCTCAGGTGCAGTGGTCGGAGCCCTGGCTGATCGGGCTGTTGGTGTTTCATGTCGTGTGTTTGTTTCTGACCGTGGTGACGTGCAGATACTACAGAGCGCAGATTTGTCACTTCCTGCTCATGGGTAAGTGAATAAAAGAGAACTTAGCAGTGTGTGTCTGTTACCAGTAAAGACTGAATAAGATCTCAAAACTAGTTAACCGTCAGTAAATCCTGTAAACCTTGTTGGATTCGTTTAACAAGAGAATACAGCTGTGTTGTTTACTGACTGACATTATCTCTATGTTACAGTTGGCCTGGTGTATAGTGCTGAATATTTAAATGAGCTGGCAGCCATGAACTGGAGGTAAGACAATTGTTCAGCTACTTTCATGTGGTAAATAATATGTATGTAGAGGCTCTGTTGTTCAAAAACAGGACACATTCAGTCATTAAGAAGATTTCATGAAGCGTAATTCTTTTTTGCAGGTCCTTCTCTAATTTCCAGTACTTTGATTCCAAGGGCATGTTCATATCTTTGGTGTACTCTATTCCTCTTCTGCTGAATACAGTCATAATTGTGGTAAGCTTTATTGTTCATCCTCAACCTCCAAGTAAAATGTTAAAAATGCGACATGATACGTTAATGTTTGTGTTGTGCATTGACAGATGGTGTGGGTGTACAGGACATTTTACACTATGACTGAGCTGAAGACACTCCAGCTCAAGCGAAAGGCCCGCAGAGAGATGAGAGAGAAGAATGACTGATGTCTCTCCTTATGTCCAAATGGGCTCCATTTGGAGGTATTAAGAATCAGTGTCTCTGCCATGCTCATCCTGACTTTTGGAGGAAGAAGACAGATTCCTTCTTGTGACCATAAATAGATTGTTCGTTGATGTCGGTCAGGACTGGGGGTCTGTTTCTGGTAACGACTGTTGAAAAAAAAAATCCTGGCGAAATACTGTACACTATGATATACGAGGACCAAAGGACATTTACTGTTTTGTAATAATGTTGTTTTAAAGTTGTTGAAATGCACAAAGAAAGATAAAGGGTTTTTGAATGATTTGTATCTAACTGTTGATTTGCAGCTCTTAAGTTAGATTTAAGCACCCATTTTCAAGAAAGGCTAGTGTTCAGGCTCAATATACAAATCTGCTGGCCTCTTAGCCTGTTATGTTATTATGAATTATTATTAATTCAAATTATTGATTTAATACATTTGCATGGATTATCTGTGAATTAAATCTGCCAATGTTGTGGCTCTACTCCTCCAGAATAGACAGTAAGCAGAGATGTACGAGCACCAAAAGGCCTTCATAGACATTTTATTTTGAGAATAAGTAAAGCATTAAGTAAAACAAAACTACTGTACATTATACAATATATAATTCAAATCGGGTACAAATACACAAATGCCGGAAAATACACTGAAACTGCTACACAGTATGTCTGGAAAAAGTCAAGTTCAGTCATCCACATTAAGAAAGGTGTCTGCTTATGGCTGAACGCTGCAGCAAAATGTACAGGTTAAAAGTGAAACCTCTTTATGGTTTCAGTGAAGGCCTGAGGATGTTGTTGCACCACTAGAGAGCAGTATAAACTAGATGACATGAGACAGGTCCTGGTGGCCATAAGACATGTTCCTATGCAGACTTTTTCCTCAACTCACACTGTCTCTAAATGCATCTGATATACTGTATGTGGGTGTTCTTTTCTGCATTCATCTATCAGGACCCATTAAGTGTGGACATGACATCATGGGAAGTTATTAGATGACGAGGAGGAAAAGAAATGGATGTGTTGTAATGGTGCAGGTGGTGTGTGTGCGTGCATGCGTGTGGAGATTTGTCAAGGCTCCATCTCTTGTGTAGGACACATGTATTGCCCGTGAGATGCCCGCTTTATGTTACACTTTATTAGGTAGATCTCAACTAATGCAACCAGCTCAACTTATCTTGGCACTTGAGTCATGTCTAAATTAATAAGTATTAAAGCACCCAGACAAGTTCAGAAGTTTCTCTGTGAAACAAAAGATTGGCGTGGACACTACACTCTGAAATAAGTTGCAGCCAAAACCACTAGTTGATGTATCTCAGACATGGCTGCTTTCCTCTTGTTTGACATGTAAAATAGTACATTGCACAACATCCAGTCAGCTGCAGTCCTTTGGGGGAAACACTGTGGATGAAAGAAACTCACACCTGTGAGACAGAGAGTGACCATAGTGTTCAGGCTGAAAGGTGAACAGAACAGCAGGCGTGACAAAGATCGGGAAACGACGCCTTGAAGTGCATCTTAGAACAAACAACCCATTGAACCGGGAGGCAGATGAGCTGCGAGATCCATAACTATTAAGAACAAGTAGATGAAGTCTGATTGGGCAATTAATAATCAAGTTGGTCAACTGACAAGTGAAAAAACAAGTAAACCATCAGTAAAATGGATAAAGTTGTCAATGAATGTTGTGGACTGAGGCTGGTTATTGCATTAGGAATGTTACACCAGAGCTGTAAGAAACATTTTGAGATCCTTGCCCAGAAACTGACATGCTCATCAAAGATGAATCATGTCATGTCGTGTGAGCTGAAGCTGAGGTTCCCACAGGTCTTGTGCAGTCAAAACTTTACAGATGGGGAACTGTGGCATACAGAGTTATAGATGTGACATATATTAGTAGTGTCTGATCTGTACAAATGCAATCAATATAGTTTTATTTGTCACTTGTAATTACATAAGGTACATTTCCTGTAAAATGTAATCCCACCAGTTGCTGCAATAATGCGCATGGGGAGAGAAGGGTTGTAAATATTCTCTTGGCAGGATCGAGCACCGCCTATGTTCAAAAGAACCACTCTTTGCAGGGTTTTGCAGTCTAGTTTGGTGCTGATTCAGTAGCAGGCGGTGATGGTGCAGGAGTAGAAATTCCTCAGTATTTAAATGGATACCCAAATATCCTTGAGCGTCTCAGGTGAAACAGTCTCTGCCTTGTCTTTTTCTCGACTGAGTCAGTATGTAGCGCCCAGTTCAGGCCCTTAGAGATGCAAACACCAAGGTTCTTGAAGCTGTTTATCCTCTCCTCTGAGGACTCACTGATATTAGTAGTTCCTTCCCTTCTTCGAGCTGCACATAATCTGTTAAATTCCCTCAAATGACATCACGTGACGCAATAAACAAATGTAGAAGTTTTATGTATGAAAAGCATTTCAACTATTAACCTGCACGTCATCCTCACAGCTCACAAAGCTAAACCAAAACGTGATTTTTGTTTTACTCCATTTTAGAGAAGGTGAATAGGCAGATGTTGTATTGGCCAGAAACAGTTGTGCACTTTGAGTTTACATCTCGAGCACAGGAAGGAAATGAGCTCAAATTATGTTTTTGCTGTCTGCCACAATGTTCTCTCTCACTATTTCTATACAGTTTATGTTGGCTGCTGCTGTGGTGCTCAACATCTGTGGTGTATAATCTACTGGTGAAGTTATTTGGCAGGACTCTGTGTTTATTACAATGTTATGCAGTTTCAACCTCTTTTCCATAAATCCGGTTGTGAAAAATACCTTCTTGCACAGCAGCAGAGCTTAAATAAAGATGAACTTATAGCATTTTTCTCTTCCATACCAAGTCTAAATAGATTCCACAGTGTTAACAACAAACATTCATACTGTATGTTTCACTGTGCCAAAAGCTTTTTTTACATGAGATTTGAGATGAAAATATCATAATTAAAAAGGAAGTAGATTATTTTACCAGCCGCAATGGTGTGTGGCTGGACTCGTATCACACCCACAGGTTGGGATAAAACGTGGCTGGTGTGATCAGCACCAAAACAGCAGCCACACTTAGTCACCAGCTGGTGAACATAGTGGTTAGTGACTCAAGAACCAGAGATTTTCCTCAGGAGTCAGTTGGTAGAGACCAAGGCTTTTAGTTATTAATGGCAAAATTAATTATACCAAAATAGTGTTATGTTACCTTGACATATTGTAGGGAAGGTGTTGCAATTTGCCAAAAATATTAATACTGGAGAAGGACTTTAACACAAAAAATAAAATCCCCCCACTTCAATCATTTCATACAGTCTCTTACAACACACTGTAAGAATTAGTGTATATACCATACATCATTATATACAGCTATGTATAACAATGACAGCAATGTTAAACTGTGTTATCAAGCATTCATAATGCTAACTGTAAATACACTAGTTAATGGATCTTTTATATTGATGACGCATACGTTAATAAACACCTAAAATGTCACTATACTTGCTTACAACTAGATTAAAGTGTGTTTTAAGCAATCATTATGTGTTATACTACTTATAAATGCTAAATAAGGGGTAGGGGGTTGAAATTAAACACCATCCCGTAGCTTTAGGGATTGAAGGCTGCATGCTTTAACCTGGTGGGGGTGTCCTGTAGCAGCATATCTCTGCAGGTTGAGTCACACTGACTGAGCATGCTCTGAAATACAATAAATGAGAAAAGAGAGGGAGAGTGAGGGGAAAAACTGGAATAACTGATACAGAGTGATAGATGAGTCACTCGGTGTGTGCTTATGAATGAGTCAGTGTGATAAACATGATTATATAGATATATTTTATTCGAAATATTATGCACACTGGTGATATAAAAAGCCTGGTGATATCTGATGAGGATTAAAATATAATCATTACAGTATGATGTACTTTCATTCATGAATTTTATTTTAAATTTAGACATGTACCAAATTGTATTAATTTAACCTTTATTAATGTATTTGTATTACAATGTGTCTCCAGGGTACAGATATAAGCCTCAAAGAGCTTGAACTCAGTGATTCACTCTAAGTGAGTCATCGATCAACCTGTATCAATTTCTACAGTACACAGTGACGATCACCTTCTTTTATCATCGTTTGCTTTAAGAGTAGCTACTGAACATCAGTAAACATTTCTTATTCCAACATGAGAAATTTAAGTTGTTTTTCTTCTTAAAAATGATCTGGACTTTGTCTATTCTACACTTGTGCTCTTGACTCTTGCAGTACTTCGCCTGTATTTTTATTTCCTCAATATCTTTATTATATATTATTGTTGTTGTTGATTGCATGCACCAAACATCAAGGCAAATTCCTTAACCTACTTAGCAGTAAACCCAATTCTGATTCTTTAGCATATGAAACCAAGTCAAAATGTAATAAAAAGTGAGACGGACAGATACTGACTTGGTGGGCCTCACCAAAAAGTTTGTTTTAAACATTAGGGTCTTTGCAGAAAAAGTTCCCAATGAAACAAGTTTGATTTTAGCAACTAAAATAAAAAATTATTGGCTACTCCAAGAGTGTAGCCAGAAATGTAGGTGTTTAGTTTCAAGAGCGTACTAGATTCAGGAAGTGTTACTCCGCTCAGGAGATTGTTCGGTTTGTTCATCAGCAGGGTTACAGACAAAACTGCTGGCACGATTTTCATTAAGCCAGGTGGAAGGGTATATAGCACTGGCCAAGGAGGAACCCATTCAATTTGGGAGCAGATCCCAATCACTCATCAATCATAAACTAGATTCATGTTTATGTAGACGAGATGATTACCAACATCATACTCCTCAGGGTACTCCTCAACATTCTCATCATTTCCTTATGCATGCTGCCATTTTCACAGTGATCAGTTTCGCTCTGAGCTGCAGGTCATAGAGGACTTCATGCTAAGTCTTTCACTGTGGTCCTTGACAAAACGCTTACACCACAAAGACAGACAACGTCTCCTTGATGCAGGGACCTTTGTGTGACTACACACAGTAACAATGAGATCATAGTGAACAATCTCATTATACTGTGTGCCTACAGCCATTATTATCCAGCAGTAACAGAGCCAGATGAATATCATTTGCAAATGACCCTTAGAGTTTGTTTCAGCCAGATGTGTTTTGTCTTAAAAGTCCTTTAACTGTACCAAGAAAGCCTGTGTGAGTCAATTTACTGACCTACAGATAATTCCTTTTGCTTGGAAACGTCCTGAAGAGACCAATGCAATTTGGTACCACATAAATAAGGGATTTGCTTGAGTAGAAATTTCCATTTGAACCCA